ATGGAAAATAGATATCGAGCACCCTCGAAATTAAAATCAAAAATTCAAGAGNCGGGAGGATAACTTTTATAAAAATCTAATCCGTTTTAATCCCAGTTAGAGAAATTAACGGGTTCGCGCACAAGTGGCGTGATAGTTGCTCGACTTATCACCGTGTCCGGTGAAAAAAGGAAAGAAGAAAAAGTTTCTAAACGTTAGGAGAGACCGAAGAGCACTTGGAAACTGGTCGTTTCCGGTGAAAACTCCAAACGGAAATTCTCTCCCAATAGACGTGGGAAATCGCGGCAAGTTTGCATAAGATCGACGATCCAACTCGATCCAGAGTCGAGCAAGTATATAATGGCCGTCGAAGAAGTGGTCACTTCTCTTCACAATCGAATCGGTTCGAACTTCCAATTACCGGAAGTACGGGGAGAGGGGTGTCCTCAGCCACCGTTCCACGCGGTAATTCCACATTTGCCTCGCAAAATCGATAATCACTGCCAGACTTCGACCGCAACGACAATGTAAATCAAACTCGAGGTAATTAATAGAGTTCTGGTATGCGAGGAAGAAGAGCCTCGTGTTAATTATTATTATCAGAAGGATCGAACGACGACGAGGATGATAAGTAACATTTTTAATTCCACGTGGTGGATATCGGGGAAAGGTAAACGTTGTCGTGAAACAAAACAAACGAACGTAAAATGGATTGATATCGCTTTGTGTATCTCCTATGGTATAATACGATAAAACAGATACAATTTCCGATGATAGAGTTTGTACGCGATATATTAAATCTATGAAGACGATCGATCGATTCGACAAAACAAAATTTTCCTTCTCCTCTTTCTTCCCTTTAAAGAGTAAAAATAACTTTCTTTCGTATTTATCGAATCCACGGTATTCGAGCCTCCCTCTCGGAACGCTATGAAAGATTCAAACGAAACTTGAGAAAGTGGAACGTAAACTTCGTGACCTCCGCCCATTGCGAAGTTGGCCAGGTCAGGGAAAATAATTATTATTAACCGGTTAGTTGTAGTAGTAGTAATAGTATCTGTAAAGAAGAAGCATTGTATCGAGGATATTTTCCCCGAAAATGAGCGAAGAGTAGTAACTCGATAGCACAATGCGTTTAATTAAATGCCAGCCTTTTAATCGATGCATACAATTAAACGGCGAGGATTCATCGATACGAAGGCATCACGCCTCCTCGTTGTTGCACCCCTCGTTCATCGATACGATATCTATTTTGCTAACGACTATCCTATCTTTAATAGCGCAACAATATCAATTGAACCACGTTCCGATTCCAGTTATTCGCTATTTCTCTGTACATCTGTATATCCGAACGAGCCAATTCGATCGTTCCCTTCTTCTAAACGTTCTCGCAAATCTTCAGGGGAATTTCAGAGGCTTTTGTTGTCGAAATTCTTTTTCGAACTCGCGCAAAAAAATTCGTCTCTTTCTTCGATGCAAGTATCGAATCCATGATCGAATTATATTACGAAAAATTCAGGAATAAATTCGCTGTATTCGAAATGAAAAATGACGATGGTTAACGAGTCAGTTGGAAACTTAACTTGGTAATAAGCCGTGTACGTGGGACGCAAACGCTCAAAAGTTTTCAGCGTTGAAAATTGGTGCTCGTAAGAGTAGCAAGTTCCAGTATACAAGCCTAAGTTCCACCCTTACGTCTTTATAAAGCCGGTTACTACCTATTTTCTAATTTTCGAGTAAGCAACGAGAGCGGGAAAATTGCCTCGCCCTTTCCCCACCTCTTATCTCGCCGCGCTTTCCGCGACGAAGAATTTCGGTGTGTCGGTGTATGAGACGTAATTTTCAAATTAGCCATTGCCGAGAAGAAGGTGCGGTAATTCGGCAGTTCATTGTAATTTCAAACAAAGCCGGAATTTTCGTCACGCCATTATATCTCTCGCGTTTCACCCAGCTGGAGGAGCGATAAGCTGAATGCGAAAGGGGAAGAAGGAAGAAAGGAAGGAAAGAAGAAAGGAAGGGAAAGAAGGAAGATGGAAAGAAGATGGAGGAGGAGCGAAAAGTGTAATAAGGTGTAGCTAAGACCGATCGTCGTCCCCTCTGTGGAGCAACGCGACAAAAGCGTCCTTCCTTCTTTCGCATTCTTCTTCTACATTTTTCCATTCTCATGATTCCTCTCGCGTCACCTATTTCTGCTCTCCACCCGCGGGAAATGACGATAAAAGCGGTCAAAGGCCTACGAACTAGCTTGGCTCTCCCCGGTTTTCACGAATCCAGGTCTCCTTGAAATTAAACGCGACGGTGTTTTAATACGGTGGTGCGGGGCTTTATGAAGATTTTTTTCGTGAAATGAATGTCGACGACTGGAGTAAAATTGGGAAGGAATTAAAAAAAAAAAAAAAAAAAGGAAAGGAAA